TTGTATCCTGTTCTCTTCATTCTCCCTTGCTCCCAAAGGGGTGCAACCAATGGAGTATCTTAGCTGGCTGCTCACAGGCTTTTAAGACCCCAGACACTACTCAGCAAGGTTGAATGCAGAACGTTATCTTTATACACCATGTTATGCCAATTGAGCTAGATGTTCCTCGAGAGTATGGTCCCCACAGCCCTCTACCCAGCAATTCAGGCTCTCAGGGAGTTTGGATGTGTCTATGGAACTTCATGACCTTTCCTTGTACAGGTTATACTGGCTTCCCCAGTACTGTGTACTGACTGAGACCCTGCTTTGTGCATCCTAATGTTCATTAGCCTGATGCGAGGCATGCAGCTATTGCTTTCCGGTAGATTTTATGATAAACAATTGTAGTATGTATTTGGAACTGTTAAAAGCACAGGGCAATTAGTGGAAATCTCCATGGACCAAGTACCATCAAAGCATTTATTAATAGGCTTAAGTTATTTGATGAAAGGAGCATATCACATAGGATTCCAACTCACATGACCAGGTTTATGTATGAATAGAGTCAGCAAATCAACATTCCAGTTTTCACTCTTCAGTAAATTTTTGTAAATAAAATTCTGGTATTAAAAGATTATTCTGTGACAGCTTTTTGTGAATTTTATTCAGAAAATCACATCTTTTGGTTTTTATGCTTTGAAAATAATTCTTTTGAAATTAGCAATATTTACCTTTGGATTAGATTTGCTGAAATAGCTAGAAAGGATGTAAGATTTAAAATCTGGCTTAGCTTCATCCTGGTTAAAGGGAATGAGTGAGAAAATAAAACATCATTTAAATGCTATTATGGTTCCAGTTGTTAAAAAAAAAATCTTATACTATGAATCAAGCTTGTTCTTATGTTAAGCGTATGTCAAAGCAAAGGCGTTAGTTTGGTCCTTTAAAAATATTTTTTAATATTTTTAATTATTCTGTTTTGAAATTAAATTTATAAAATATAGTGGCCAAAAGACTTCCAATTTAGAGAAAAAGGGAATTCAAAGAAAAATGTAAATGAAAGTGAAAATAGCAAATTTGAATAAAGTAATTGGTACGTATATTATTTTGCTAAAATTATTACTTGAAAGGCAACATGGTAGAGTGAAAAGAGCAGTCAACCAACTAGCTAAATTCTCTGGACAAGTTACTCAGTCTGTCTGGGCCTGGGATTCTTCATTTTAGTGAGGGACTTATACTAGATCATTTATGAAGCCCCTCTCTTCCCTAAAATTCCATAATTCTGTGACTATAAATTGCATGCAAAGGCTGAATCAGATTAGAGAGGAATTATTACTAGGAGTTGGAGATGTGTTGATTGATGCACCTCAGGCAGGTGGCCCACTGTGTTTTGCCCATAAGTTGCATCAAAGAGTAATTAGAGTTCTTAATGACACTGTACCCATGACATTTTAAATAGATTTTGAAATATCTGCCTTACAGCCTATGTTCCCACCTACTCCACATATCAGTTTGTTATTTGATTTTATAAACATAAATCAAGGACAATAGTTGATGCTGTTATTCATCTTCTTTTAACCAAGACCAGAGTGTTTCATCTCACATTTAAATGTATAATCTTCTAAATATATATTGCAAACTAGGAGATACGCCTTAAAAAAAAACAGTTATAATGACTCTGACTTCAATAATCCAGCCTTTATGCTTTAAAAATATTTCTTCTGAAATTAGCAATATTTACCTTCAGATTAAAAAAAAGAAGAGCTGTATGCACCTTTTTAGAGATAGTATAGGTTATTTATCCCCCAATATTTGGCAAAATGCATGCCTCTTAAGAATTAGAGCTTACAGGGTATATAATGGGCTGAAAACTTTTCTGTTACTTTGCAACAACAGCCTCTGCTCCCAGCCCCAAGGCCTCAGAGGCTCAGCCCTAGAGACAGTCAGTGGATTTTTTTTTCGACGGTTTACCCTCTTATCTTCCCACCTGAATTGTAATACTAATAACACGAATCTACCAGTGTCAAAAGTCTGGCATTATTTTTCTGAAAATTTGAGTCATGGAATTTATCACACTCAGTTTATAGTTGCAAATATATGCTTCAGTTGCTCCTAGATATAGTTCTTAAGAGTCCCAAACGTTCCTATATATGTTTGCTTATGATACCTATTATGGTTTCTGGTGCTTAAGAATATTGAGAACTCATTCATGTTCTAGGGAAAATTTTTAAGAGAGCACAAAGCTGTTTTAGTGGAAGAAGAAAAAGATAATAGGATCTTTCAACACCAAAATGTCAAGCTTGGATTTCCTCTCTTTTCTGTTTTGTTAGCTAGGATTTCCCCTGTTTTCACTTGAGTGTTCTGTTTGCATTGCCAGCAGGTTGGCAAATAGGTATCTGTCTTTAATATAGAAAACATTTTTCCCCTGAAATTATGAAGTTATAATTTATCCTCTGTCTTCAGGCAGCACTTTTAATATGGAAGCAAAGAGATATTCCGATGATGTTTCACTGCTGTGCTGCCCTCCTTTGCTCTTTGTAATTGCCTCTTTCTACTGTTCAGTAAAATATATTTACAGTTATATTAAGTTTACATGAAAATAGTAGACACAGCATGAAGCAGTTTTCATTATGTAGTCATTTTAATTTAAAATTTTTTTTTTCCTCTACACATATTCCAGTCTTTTGTGTCTCATTCCAAATTAGCAGCTCACACTGGTAATGTGTCTAGTTAATTATATGCATGTGCATT